AATTAGTTACCACTTAACTAATGGGGGTCCGCCAGCCATACCACTGATACAGCCCCACCAGCAAAGAAATGTTTAACTAAAATATGTCTGCTTTATTGCCTAAAACACCTGTCTATTGGATTCAACCAAAAAGCAAAAATAAACTGACAACTCTGTAACCCCAAACAAGCAGAGAATCTAGAACCCTGGTTCTCAACTGGTGGGTCGTGACCCAAAAGAGTGGGTCACGACCCCATGTTCAGTGGGTTGCAGCATACCTTCCACAACACTAGGTAAGGGGCCTCCCCCATAGCACAGCACTGTCAGTTATCATGCCTAACAGCCATTCAAAATATGCTGCCTGGCAGCGAGTGTCAGTGTGCTGATATGGCCGGGAGGGAGCTCCATCCATATGTGCATTGCTAGAATTGGCTCCCATGCTACATTTTTACAGCTCTTAGTGTAAAGAATCCTTTCCATATGTGGAGTTCTCTTTTTTGCAATGCCCTTAACCCTTTTGCTGCCAATGACTTAAGCCATACACCACTGGCAGCAGGCCCCTCTAAACAGACTCCCGGCGGTTATAGGTGTCTGGATTCTGTTCAGCTGTGTAATGCCGATGATCAGCTTTACACTAAAAGCGATTCTGGTGGCTGAGCTTTCGCCAGATTGCTTCTAGGGATCAGTGAAGTGTGCCCCCCCGCCCTGCAATCTTGGTTCCACCACCCCTCCTGCAAGCCTGGGACCAGCTTCACGGGTTTCGCCAGTTAGAGGGGAGAAAAAACCAGCGAACATAAGTTTGCCAATCTCCTCCCTGCTGAATGGAGCCGGAAGCGACACTGATTGCATCACTTCCAGTCCCTCGGCTTTTGTTCCCCGAGCAGAGAATCCAAGGAAGAAGCGCAATCTGTACTTGAATAGCTTCTTTGCAGTGGAAAGGTGACGCAAGGGGTCTAATGTGGTGGACAAGTTATTATGGATTTCAGGAGCCAGGTCCATTGACAACACCTAAACAAAACTTTGTCTAGCCCTCATTAAATTGCACACCATTGCAACGTTTACTATATGGACCATTTATTTATAACCCTCTTTAATCAATAATTCTCAAGGGGGAATAAATAAAGTATGCATATTTATGCAGTGGTGAAGACTACAAGCCTCCTCAGCTCTCCGAGATAAGCAAATACTGTCTCGATACAAGAGTCATGTGTATTCTTGGATCTTGGTGAGCTTTGTGTATTTCTTCCAGATCTGTGCAGTAATCCCGTGTGACACTTGGCACTTCCTGTAATGAAGACCACTCACTGCTCTGTCCTTGTGCAGGGTGACTGGTCTGGTCTCCGCCCCCTCCTGTAATAAAGACCGTTCACTGCTGCTCTGTCCTTGTGCAGGGTGACTGGTCTGGTCTCCGCCCCCTCCTGTAATAAAGACCGTTCACTGCTGCTCTGTCCTTGTGCAGGGTGACTGGTCTGGTCTCCGCCCCCTCCTGTAATAAAGACCGTTCACTGCTGCTCTGTCCTTGTGCAGGGTGACTGGTCTGGTCTCCGCCCCCTCCTGTAATAAAGACCGTTCACTGCTGCTCTGTCCTTGTGCAGGGTGACTGGTCTGGTCTCCGCCCCCTCCTGTAATAAAGACCGTTCACTGCTGCTCTGTCCTTGTGCAGGGTGACTGGTCTAGTCTCCACCCCCTCCTGTAGTTTTCTCCAGGTAGCCTGTAGTGGGTGGGGCCTGCTGGGCGCAGTGATATATCTACAAGGTAATCACTGGGTTTGCAAAGACATTTGATGCCCACAATGTGGATTTATATCCTTTGAGGAATACATGTCATCTTTAATGTAGAGAGCAGTCATAGCAATCAGCCCTTTCCTGGGTTGCCTGTTGCTACACATGGACATAATGTCCAGATTTCCTGATTACTAATTGGTGTGCGGGGGTGCTTTGATGAACACCTGGATTGGTCCATTAGGGAGTTTTTTGGGGTGGGGTGGGGGGAGTCGTCACATTTCTCATTGTCAGGGGTTAGTTGTTTGATGTGTCAGGTGGGTTTATTTTTCCATTAGCTTACAAATCCTTGCAGCCAATTCACTCTGCCTTCAGCAAATATGACTTGTGTGTCGTCTCCTGCCTGTTCACACACGTTCTGCTGATTATACACCATTCATGTCATACATCCGCACACATATTGGGCCTCGTATACCAAAACAGGATTCTTATGAAGCCTGTGCTTTGCTTCCCTCAGGATATGGGGGTCTGATCGCCAACCTGCCTCAAATTTTTAAAATCAGAATTTTGGCAAGAGTTTGAGCCTTGTGCTTTCTTTTTATGGTTTGCAGGTTAAAGATTGTTGGTGTAATCCAACTGATCCATTATTTTCCACCGGTGTGAATGTAACGCATAGTAGTATAGTGGAACTTCAGGCCAGACATTTTGTTCTCAGTTTCGGATTGGTAGCTGTTCCATCTGGTTTTTATTGCTGCTTACTTACCCATTTGTTGAGATTTGTCCCGGTTACCACACAGGAAGTGTGCCGCCCCAACAGGGGCATAGAATATGAGATGCATAGCCTCAGTTAATATTAGCATTGTTATATAGGTTAGAATTTATATAGTGTGATTTGCCTAACTATTTTCTCATAGCTAAATTCATGTGTTATCCTATGCTGCCATCTAGTGGCCTTTTGTTGTAATATACATGCTTTCTGTAATTATTCCTCATGTGACGAGGTATTTCCCCCTAGTGTACGCCCCTTCCTGCTTCCTGTGTGCAGTACTTCCTGTGTCATGGGCACAGTTGAAAGCCACATGTAACAGGACACACATGTAATCTGCACAGTACGTAGGAAAGGCATCATTTTCTGACCGCACAATACTATCACCATTCATCTGCTGTTCCTGTTATCTGCTGTAACCCCTGATGTTAAAGAATAAACACCTCTTTTGAATGAATCGGTATTGACGAGTTCAGCTATCTGACGAGGATTGTCCGCAGTGAGTATATCTGCTTATACAGGCCAGGCATAGAGGTCTCATCAAGGGATATATTTCGCTATCACAACGATCGGAGTCAGAATAGGAAGGAAGTTGAATCTCCCTGGTGAGGGAACCACAAAGCAATTAAAGTCTGACAAAGATTTTTACCCTTTTCTCCTATTAAACCTTTTTATTGCTTTTTTTTCCCATTTTGGTTAGATTAGCAGTCAGAGGTAGTGTTGCTTAGAAAATCAATATTGACCCTTGTAGTCGGGCGTTCCCTGCACTGCGACGGTTCACTGCTCATTTTTGTCTAGGGACTGACATAAAGTTATACTTACCGAAACCTCGGGGCCATTGCAGCTCTCCCTTCAGTCTCTCTCCTTCTCTGCTGCAGCAATGATGTGTCCTCACAGCCAATATGCAGTGTATTCAATGCTATGACTCAAGGATCCTTAGACCGCTGGAGGAGAGGGGAGAGACGCTGGAAAGACCAATCTAAGAACAAGCCGGCTCCGAGGATTGGGTGAGTATAACTTTATTTTCAGCCCTAGACCAAACCGAGCCCCGGCTGCAAGGGTTAAAAAAAAAAAAAAATTCCCTGACGTTCTGCTTTAAGATCTCAGTGCAGATATACAGCCATCAGTCTGTTGGCACGGGGTAGAATACAGGGCATATAGCCGGGTATGGTAGTAGCTTCCCTAGATAATACTGAGGAGTATAAGAGTTCATATCCTCATCAGCGCAATCTAGCGACGCTATTGCAGTGCGTACTTCTATAAATGAACCCCTGTGTACTCTCTGACATGACATAAATCTCCACATTTTGACTTGTGGTCTAATTTAGGTGTACAAGAATAATGCTAAAGGTACCTATGGACCTTGTATTTTTTATGGCTAGTATAGGACTGATCAGAGTGTAACCTTTGTGTAGTGATTGGTCAGTTTTATAATATATTGCAATAGTATTGTGTGTCCTTTTGAGTGTTGGAGATTGTTTGTGTGTAGCAGTGAGCAGAGTTCATTGTAGACGTAGGTTAATCGGCATCCATGTAAACTTGGCCAAGGCCTGTGTGCGTCTGTCTGCGTGACTGGATTACAGCGGCTGGATTGTAAGCTCTTTCAGAGCAGGGACTGATGTAAATTATACTGCGTGCTCTGTAAAGCTCCGGCTAATATGTCAGATATAATGTATATAAAAAGAAACGTTTTGCAACTGATCAGTGCGGTGTACTTGTTTTACCAGTAAAATGAAGGTTAAAGGAGGTCCCTGCATCTCCTCTCCTTTATAACATCAGCATTGTAATAGGAATACATACTGGAGATGTCTCTGATAATACAATCCAAGCTTACATGAAGAAATCTCTTATGTAGGGAGCGCTGCCTTCCATCTGCCCATCACTTCCAACAACTTCCTGGATTCCTGGTGTGCTTTGTGTCTCTTTCCCTGCTGCTTGATGGGATGCAATCACCATTTCTCAGGACTACATATCCCATAATGCATTGCTTCCAGCAAGCAATAATAATGTTACATTGTTCAGATGTTGAGTTGTAGTTTTAAAAGGCTCCTGTGAGAGTGGTGACACAAGTAGGGCTGCAGCTAACGTTTATTTTCATAATCGATTAGTTGCCCAATTATTTTTTTCAACTAATCAATTGGTTGTATAAAAAAAGTGCTCTCCCTTGTGCTCTCTCTCTCTCTCTAACTAATCGATGATGAGAATAGTTGCCAACTATTCTCGTCATCGATTAGTTGTTGCAGTCCTAGACACAAGGAAGTACATATTCACAAGGGCTGAGTAAAATGGTGTCAGTGCATTGAGGATCATCTTCAGCAAGTTTACCCACTTCTAGATGGATATGGTTATTAGGAGTGGGATGGAACTTATGGAAATATAGATTTACATAATTTTTAGTTTTTGACCATAGATGCCCTTTAAATTGATATCACTGTATGACAGCTCAACGTTTTATTTTGTTTATAAAAGCACTTGTTCTGTTTAATAATTCTTTATTTTTATACTAATTTTTGTTTTCTTTTCCCTTCTTTTAGTCAACAAGCATAAACCATGGATCGAAACAACATACCATGGGATTGTAACGGAAAACGATAATGCCGTCTTACTGGATCCTCCTCTCATAGCGCTAGACAAAGATGCCCCGCTACTTTACGCAGGTATGAGCCCTCTTGTATTGTGTTCTGTGGTGGCCTTTTCTCTTGTAGCTAAAAGATAAAAGAAAGGAACGATGTGTTGGACTGGATAGTTTTCTGTTCTGTGTTGTTTCATGATGTGGATACATTGTTGCATTCTCTTTATTTTGTTATATGTTAGTCATCAATTGCTTGTTGTGATTTCTGCTCGTTGTTACATAACAATTGTCTGTGATGTTCGGCCTGGATCCTGTGTGACACCGGGCACAGTGAGAGTATTTGATGCAGAGCTTGGCTAATTGGCAGTGATGAAACTGGCTCCCAGCCTGGCGTACCATCCACGCACGTCAAGTCATTGGCCGCTGTGCCGCCTCATTGCTGAATGATCGCATTGGACTGCGGAGTGTTCTGCCTCAATGACTTCCTTGCCCCTGGCTTTCCAAGCCTCTGACTGCCAGACAGCACCGCACGTCTGACCGGGGACGCACTCTTTCAATTGTTCCACTCGTTTGACATCAAATGGTTCATATAATCTTATTTGGACTCTTCAAATTTCTGGGAAGACATATGGAAGTGGACAGGCTAATATACTAATGTGTGTGCACATCTGGGTGGATGTTATTTATCATGTACTTGTGTTTTCTCTCCATCCTTCTCTCACTTCAGTTATTTCTCTATTTCTGCCTTTTATGCTCAGTCTCTTTTGCTTGCTGTCCTGTTTTCCTTTATTTGTCTCTCTCGCACTCTCTTTCTCTCTCTCTCTCTCTCTCTCTCTCTCTCTCTCTCTCTCTCCACTCTTTCTCTTTTCTCAGATGTCTTTCATACAGTATCTCCTGCTCTTTTTCTCATAGCTCTTTCTCAACACGTGCTCTCTCTCTCTCTACTCACATCTCTCTCTGCTCTTTCTCTCTCTCTCTGCTCTTTCTCTCTCTCTCTGCTCTTTCTCTCTCTGCTCTCTCACAGTGCTCTCACAGCGCTCTCTCTCGGGTGCACTCTCTCAGCACTTTCCCTCTCTCCTCTTTCTCACAGTGCTCCCTCTCGGCGCTTGCTCTCTCGGTGCTTTCTCTCTCGGCGCTAGCACCCTTGCTCTCTCGTCGCTAGCTCTGTCAGCGCTAGCACCCTTGCTCTCTCGCGCTAGCTCCCTTGCTCTCATGGCTCTCTCTCTTGGCTGATAACAAGAGAGGGCAAGTGAAGGGAGGACATTCTCTGATTTGATGCTCCCCTGATGCCCATCTTTTGGCTGACTTTTCCCTTGTTGCATAACTCTTAAAGTGACACTAAACTCTGTAGTTAAATCTAAAAAATACATCGAAGAACCTTATCTATTAACAAAAATGTATCTTATTTGTGTATCACTCAGCTGTAGATCCTCCAATCATCTTCTGGAGGGTGGCTACTTTTGTTCCCCATGGTCCCTGTGTGTTGTGAAGTAGTCACCGCTCCAAGCTCGCTCCCGGGATGGACTACAATCTCAATACAAATTAGTAAATGAAACCTGAGACTGTAGTCCATCCCGGGTGCAAGCTTAGAGCTCTGTTCTGTAAAATCCATGTTTCATCCATGATTGCCATGGCATTAAGCTACATAAAGCCACATATTTTTAATATCCTCATCAGCCGCAACATCTGTGGGTCTTCATGGATGGATGAAATTTCTGGATTCCTCCATCATTTTGCTAAATATCACCCAGAAATTTATTTTTTCATTCCATAGGAATGTGTGACGCTGAAGAGGACACATTCCTCGGGCATTGAATCAGCGAAGCGCTTCGTTTTCCCATAGTAAACAATATGGCCTTGTTCTGCCCTCCCCCCTGCCGACAAATAGCTCCGGCTTTGTCCCAGCCTCTGCAGTAGGTGTTTTGTGGAGTGTAAATTGTGAGAAGCCCATTAAGTACGCTTGAAATGTTTTTATGCGAGATCCGATTGCACAGACACATTAAGCTGCTTAGCTCCCTCTCAGCACATTGGACACAGCTCGGGTTTAGGCCCTTGTATACATCTGCAGCAGAGTAGCTCTCTCTGCTTCTGAATGTATGACTCCATAGACATTACATAGTGGGACTCTGAATCACCAGGATATAAACTGCTCTTATTTCTCTTCCTGAGCATGAAACATTTTTATTACTGTAATTCTTATGGTGACACTTGACATGAGGTGTCTCCCCAATAGCAGATAGCAGGAATACTTCTACTTTATCAGACAGTTGTAATCAAAATGATTTAACCCGTATTGCTAATCAGATTTTTTGGCAACATTTACAAACTTTAAGTTGCTTCCGAAATTCAACTGAAAATGCAATTTTTAATAAATTCTGCGGTCTCAAAATTATGTAACCCCCTAAATAGAATCCCTCACAAGAGCACACATCTGAAAAACAGGGTTGTCTCAAGCATGAGCTGATGCAACTGATCAAGGGCTTCATTAGTTGCACTGGGTGTGTTTGAGCTAGAACACATGAAATACCCAAACTGGCTGGGGGTTTGTTGAGTGTCATGGTTTATGCCTTCCCTCTTCTCTTTAAAGCAGGTGTCTGTGTGTCAGTGTGTCCAACTTGTTCCAGGCACCCAAGTTGCCCATTCTTACCATTATCACCACTCCTCTGCTGCTCCAGTCCTTGCCACAGCCCTCCTGTATGGGGCAACTTGTGACATGCCACCAGCATCCCCGCCATGCAAAGCTTTGGGCCCCAGTTTTATTTCAGGGGCACACCATTCAGTGTGCAGTTGGTAACAACATTGGGTATGTTGACTGGTGACTTTTCTGGGTGGACAGTGCCTAGCACCGTATGCATCTAAATGCAAGTTGCCACACAGTGTGCTTTATAAGAGTTCAAGAAGAACGCCAGGATTTAAAAAAATTTACCCTTGCAGTTTAGGGGCAGCCCCGCATTGCAAGGGTTAATTGCTTGTGTTGGTCTAGGGGTGAAAATAAGGAAGAGATACCCGATATGCGGGTGACCGCTCACCTTTTCCTCCCTTCACTCTAGCTGTGATATGTTCCTTGGCATCTTCACGTCTTATGGACCTGCATTAAACGTGATGATGTCATGGGTCCTAAGACCACTGGAGAAGAGGTTTGGGGGGAGGG